CAATCAGAGGAGTTTTAGTTTGATACCAGCAAGCAGCTTTAGTGCAGAACAGTTGAGCTAAGCCACGCCCAGGCTCCTTGCTGTCTCTTTCTTGTTCACACAGCAAATACTGCTTCAGTTTCCAAACAGCCCTCAACTCTCTCACACACTGACAGAACGCTAGCCAGATGAATACCGATGGATGCTGGTAGGCAGAGGCAGAATTTTTCCCCCCTTATTTTCCTCCCCCAAAACTAAGCCCGACCACATAGTTGCGTAGCGAAGCACATGAGTATCGAGCTAGTATATAATATATAGTCCACAAGTCTTCTTGGTTCTGACATAATCGTGGGGAGTCTGAGATCCAGCGAAGATCTGAGCATGATTTTCCCACCTCCCAACAACAAAAGACCAGCCGCCACACACTCCAGAAATCCGATTGGAAGAACAGCCTTCTAATTACAGGGCAACCTCCACTTAACGGCCTCAACGGAGCCCTACCTTTCTGTCGCTGTGCGAGACCTTAACTTGAGGTGTGGCCCGTTTTACGACCTTGGCGCCACTGTCGTGGAGCGAACCCCCTGCGGTTGTTCAATTAGTAACGTGGTCGTTGAGTGAATCTTGGTTTCCCTCCATTGACTTGACATTGTCTGAAGGTCATAAAAGGGGATTTCCCTTCCTCCCCCTCCCACCTCCGGATGCTGCAAAACCATCATAAATATGAGTCAGTTGTCAAGGGTCTGTAAATCATGTCACCGCAATGGTCGTTAAGTGTGAAAAACAGTCCCAAGTCGCTTCCCTTCCCCCCAACGGCGTTTTAACTTTGAACGGTCAGTAAATGAACTGTTGTAAGATGAGGACTACCTTTATAGCACAGGGACGTTGTCTGTTTGGAAGTTAAATTTTCTCAGGCTTTAATTTTGGAGGGGTTTTTTGGGGGGTGTTTCGTTTGGTTTGCTCTGCCAGGATCTGTTATACAGGTAGTCCTCCACTTACAACAGTTTATTTGGTGACCAAAGTTAGAACGGCGCTGGAAATAGTGACTTAGGACCGTTTTCCACACTTACGACCATTGCTGCATCCCCATGGTTACTGTGATGACTCGGGGCGTGACACAAAAATAACAAAGTCACAAAAGTAGAATAAATTCCCTTTAATCCCTCCAACTTGGCCCTAATTTCCAATTATCCTCAGCTGGAGATCAAACTCTTCCAAAAACAGTCTACCAAGGGAGTAAATGCAGTCCGAGCCCAAAGTAAAGATAATTAGAAATTTTTTAAAAACCCAACACAAACCACACTGAAGTAATTAATACGGCAGGCCAGGATGATAAATGGCAGACTTTCAAAGGATAATGCAGCGCCCACAGTTGGGAGGACGCCAAAAACCCAGATAAGGCTGACCAAGATGATGCACGCTTTGCTTCCAGCAAGGAGCTGTGTGCAAACTCCCCACTTATATCCTGTTCTCCCATCTGCAACTAATGAAGGGAATCAGGGCCCTTTCCTCTCCCGTAAGCCACGTTGCTCCCTTCTCTGCTCCTCCCTGCGTGCCCTTGGATGAAGAGGGGGTGGGCCTGGGTCTTCCTCTGAAGGCCCAGCCGGACTGTGCCCTCCCCCAGTTTCCTCCACAGCCACCAGAGCCGCACTCCCACTCCCTGTCAGCTGCTCAATCTCCCCCTCAGAATCGGACTCCAACAAGGGCATGACAGTTACCCGATCAAAATTCAGACTCTGGGCAACTGACTGGTACTTATGATGGTTGCAGAGTCCCGGGGTCACGTGATCCCCTTTTGCGACCTTCTGACCAGCAAAGCCAACAGGGGAATCCAGATTTGCTTAACGACCGTGTGATTCCCTTAACCAACGTGGCAGGAAAGGTCTGTAAAATGAGGCGAAACTCCCTTTAAACAAATTTCTCACTTAGCAACATCAGTTTTGAGCTCCGTTTGTAGTTGTAAGTCGAGGACTTCCTGCAGAACAGGGCAATGATGCCATCTTGATTCAACGGGCGGCTTCCAGGGGGAAAGCCACGCCTGGTCCTTTTCAGCAAAGGGTTCACAAACACACTTGTCACACTTGCTTCTCCTCCTCTCCGCCAGTGGCAGGAGCCATTGTCGGTGTGTTGTGTTCAGTTTAGTTTAGTTGAGTTTCCTAAATTAATTTTTATGGGCCGGCCAGCTATTTCGGCTGCAAAGAGGTACCCCACTGTTCACATTATTGTGGTATTCTTTGCAAAGTGGTGAAGCAAAACAGATGCCTTAACATTTTGCAGCTGATTAACTATCATTTCGAGCCTTAAAATTCTGGTGCTCCTCTCCCCAAAGTTAGTTTCCTTTATTGTCCTTGGGCACCTCGTACAACGAAATGAAATGCCATCTTCAGTGTACAATTTATGGCTATGAAAATAAACACAAACACACCTCCTTCACATTCTATACAATTGGATTGAAAATCCCTGATATTGCATGAATATTGCACTATGCAGTAGAATTCCATAGACTTCCTGCCCTGGGATAGAAGCTGTTTTTCAGCCTATTTGTCCTTGTTTTTATTATTGTCTTGTACCGTCTGCCAGGTGGTAATAGTTCAAAAAAAAAAAAAAAAAAAGGTGCCCAGGATGAGATGGATCTTTGAGGATGTCTTGAACTAAGGCAGCAGGAGCTATAAAGCTCTTCCAAAGAGGGGAGAGGGCAACCCATGATCTTTTGGGCAATGATGTTAACCTTCTGGAGTGCTTTCCTATCTGCCCCAGTGCAATTGGCAAACCCTACAGAGGTGCAGTAGGTTAAAATACTCTCTATGGTGCTGCTGTAGAAGGTCACCAGCAGTTTTTCATCCAGTTGTTGTTTCCTGAGAAGCTTCAGGTAGTATAATCTCTGCTGGGCCCTTTTGACCAGGGCTGCTATGTGGGCACCCCAGGCCAGGTCCTCTTTTAGGGTAACACCCAGAAACTTAAAAGTGGCCCCTTGCTCCACTCGGTCTCCACTGATAAGCAAGGGCTGGAGGTCTGGTCTGTTCCTTCTATATAATCCACTATCGGCTTCTTGGTCTTATTGGTGTTGAGGACCGAATTACTGTCTCCACACCACAAAAGTGTTACCCCTTTGTTGTGAGATGGGGATTGTAGGAAGAGGACGCAGGTAAGAAAATAATTTGGGACTCCCCCCCCCCCCCCAATCTCCTGACACCCTAACCACAGCCCATCTTACATAAAGAATCCAGATTTTTTTTAAAAAAAAAAACTTGCTAATAATGTGAGCAGATTTAATATATGAGCAGGTTACGCTTAAGCTGCCCTGGAGCGAATTCAACTCCGGAACACACCTGATGGAAATAATTGCAAGTCGTAGTAAATGGAAAGCAACGCCGGACTAGGATAACATTTAGCTCTGTGTTTCCCTGTTGGTAAAAAAACCCCGGAAGATTTCATTACTGTTAAATTTGGACAGAAAACCTTGAGTTTTTAAGAAAGGGAATGAAGTTATGACGGAAAACAAACTCCGGAGCTGGTTCACACCTTCTTATCAGCCTCCAGGGCTACATGTGATTAAAAGTCTAGTTGTCTTGTTCGATACTCTAGAAGTGTGATATGCACCTCACATCTTACTATAGGTAGTTGTCTCCTCTGCAGGGTTAACTAAATTTCCCTCCCTCCCCCTTATTTTGCCACAGATGTGTGTATTTTCTAAAAGATACACGGTTTTTTTTTTTAAATGTAAAAGATGATGGGTATCGAAGTCTCCTTTTCTGGAACTCTGAACAGTTTTGTCTCGGCAGCGTGCTGTCTAAATTGTTCTCTAAAAGATCAAAATTAATAAGAGGTTAGATGGGGTTTTTTTTCCCCCCTTTCCTTTCCTCCTCCTGTTTTGATAGCTATCATATGACATCCTGAACTATACATGATGTGGCCTTTTCTGTATTGCTCATTAAATTGGATGCCTGTGTACAATTTTCAATCCCACTGTATTTTAGATCGTGCAGCATGATTTACAGAATAGCAGGGTGGGAAGAGACCTCAGTGGTCTTCTAGTCCAACCCCCCCCCCCCCCGTTCAAGCAGGGGACCCTATTATTTGAGACGAATGGTTATCCAATCTCTTCTTCAAAACCTCCAGCGTTGGATGACCTACAGCTTCTGAAGGCAAGTTGTTCCCCTGGTTAATTGTTCTAACTGTCAGGAAATGACTCCTAGGTTGGTTCTCTCTTTAGTTAGTTTCCATCTGTTGCTTCTTATCCTGCCTTCACATACTTTGGAGAATAAGTGGACCCCTCTCTCTTTGTGCCGGCCCCTCAAATATTGGAAGACTGGACTCATGTCCCCTTGGTCAGAAATGGTGTAGGGTCTCCCGCTTAGGTGGGTGGGTGGGGGGTTGGACTAGATGACCTACAAGGTCCCTTCCAACTCTGATTATCTGTTATCCCCCCACCCGCCCCCCAGTCCTTCTTCTCACCAGACTAGACATCCCCAATTCCTGCCACCACTCTGCACATTTTAACATTTCAACCAGTGCAAAACCAAACCATTTTTTCTCTTGAACCAGCATCAGAACCCAGGAAGATAAATAACAAGTCAGAAAGCATAGCAAAGAAAGCATTTTTTAAAAAATCATTCTTGAGCAGGAAGCCATGCGCTCTGGCCACACTGAAATGCAGACCAGCCTGTTCCATTCCCTGGGCTCTGGGTGAGAAAAGCAGAACCCCTGAGCAGCAAACAACAGACGGAGGGAGCTTCAACAGCATTCACTTCGATTTCCATCACATCCAACAAACACCTTTTATTATTATGATTACTACTACTACTACGGCGGTTGTGATTAAAATGGAAAGGACGAACTCGCAGGTGGATTTTCTTCCTTTTCTTCCTTCTTGCTTACAATTGTACATACCATAAGTTCTCGTGGAATTCATGAGCAGCAAATGCTCCGGGAGAAGTCGTTTTGTGAGGGCGGCATTTGGAAGTTTGCAGGCTGCATGCTCGTGGTCCAGGCTGAGGAGGAGGAGGAGGAAGGGGAGAACTCCATCACTTGATGAAATGAAGGGCATCGCTCTGAACAATTGAGCCTTTGGAGCAATCCAGGCTAGTCAGCAGGCGGAAGCCGCACTTGAGGGCCATCATGATGGCTTCGAACTTGAGCGTCTCCAAGGTGCAGACAAAGGTGTTGTCCTCCTTCAAGACCAGCCGCGTCCCGTTCTCCGACTTGATGAAGTACTTAAACTGAATGATGTTGGAAGAGACGGTAAACTCTTCGGGGAAACCGTCCAGCCGGCTCTTGGAGACCAGCACGATGCGGGATTTGATTTTGGCGATGAAGTCGGGGGCGTTGCAAAAAATCCGGAGGCCCTGGGTACGGTCGTGGCTGTCGGTGATCTCCAGGAAGGTGGCCTCTCGGGAGGCCAGCTGCTCCTTCTCCCACCTGGCTTTCACCGCCTCGCCCAGGAGGGGAAGCTGGAAGAATTCAGCCTCCTGGGCCAGGAGTTGGTTTTCCTTGAAGCCCTCGGGGAGGAGGAGCTCCCCGTTCCTCAGGAAGTTCAGAACGTGCCTAAAGAGGAGACCGTCCCTGTCGATGAAGAAGTGGCCCTCGGCGTCCGACGGGCAAAGGGTTTTCCCGCTGACAACTCTTTCCAGAAAGGAGTCGGCGTATTTGGTGAGAGTTTGCCTCTGGCTAACGTAGAGGTAGCCGCCAACGTTGAGAGTCACCAGAGACATGTTGGGATGCTTGCCGTGGTCCTTCCCTTCTGACGATGCGCTGCCTTTCTTCTCCTTCTCCATCTCGCCCCCCCTCCTCCCCCGGGTTGGGTTGGTGGGGCGCGCCGATGGTGGCTAGGATGGGCCACCTGTCCCTCTCACCTTGCTCCCCCTCCCCCCTTTCTCTCTCTGGCTTGGTGCAAGAGAGGTAGGTCTCTTCCCGAAAACCCGTCGATTCAGCCCCGGGGAGGAAGCACGCTGGCGAGGAAGCGCACTAAGCCGTGCATGAGCTTCTCAAGCACAGTTTTGCAGGAGGTGGCGTAGGAACCGCGCGTGTGTGTGTGTGTGTGTGTGCTGCGTTGTTCCCAGGAGCCGGTCTGGAAAGCTGAATTTGCATTTAACTGTGTGAGGGTAAGAAGATGCTTGTTGGAGGGGGAGTTGGCTTTTCTTTTCCCTTTGAAGTCCCCAGAATTATAAAGGGAGGTTTTTTTCTTCTTCCCCCTGGAGGGTGCTGGGAGTAAAAAAGTGGCATGCCCTCAATGCCCACCTTAAGGATGGAAGCCAGATTTGGGAAAAGGGAAAAGAAAAGCACGCCTGAAATTTCATTCCGTGTTGTGCAACAGCTTTCCAAGATGCCTTTGTGAATAAGGGATTCATAAACCTTCTGGGGGGGAAACAACAACAGCAGCAAAACAAAATAACCCTTAAGAAGATGGACTTGGTTTATTCAGAGCTTTGCAAATCTCTGTGGTTGGCTGGTCATCTTCGTACACAAAGGCAGCAATGGAAAGGCTGAAATCCAGCCGCCCTCCTTCAAAATCCTCCCCAGCCAGTGTGGATTTTATACAGGATTCCTAGGGTTGAAATGGGCTTTTCAGCAGCCTGGGAACAGGAGCATCCGGGGGTGTTGTTTATGATAGAAAGACACGCTTTGCCTGCAAATTGCAATAGGAGGGAAAGAAATGTACTGCAAAATTTGATTTACGGGGAGATGTTGGATGGATGGGTTTAGGTTCCGTCCAAATGGAATTGCTGTTTCTATGGATAAGTGAGGACTAGTTGGTCAAACCTTGGCACACCAGTAACCTGACACCTTAGCAACACTTTGGGGTATGGAGAAAGGTGAGAGAAGACGTTGTGACTCGCTTCTGTTTGTTAGCTGCTTTAACGGCTGAGTTTTCAAAAATGCAAACGTTTGGCATCAAGGTGTAAGACAGAAGGAAAATAGATGGCTGAGATCTCTTGAGAGGAGGGGAAGGATTCAGGATTATAAGGATATGGATTTTATATATATATATATATGAACCTCAGAAAAAATATATATATATATAATTTCCATATATATATAATTTCCATATATATATAATTTCCATATATATATATAATTTCCATATATATATATATATGTTTTCTGAGGTTCTCGCAGGTATTTGTATGTGGATCTTTGGTTATTCGGGTTTTCTCCCGCGTAAGATTGGAAGTATATATTATATTGATATATAAAAAAGCAAAATACCACTTGTGCATCATCATCAAAATCTCCACAACTGTAAAGCCTACAAACTTGACATTTGGCACATATGGCTTCTAGGTGCTCACTAAGAAAGGATTTTTCAAGATGACCATCGGAGCATTTCGAGTATTTTCTATATTATTATTATTATTAACACGCTCTGATGCTAAGGAGTTCTACTCCCCCTCCCCACTTGAAAAGAAGAAATCTCTTCCAAAGGCAAAACACCAGCAGAGGAGAGGAGTTTCAGTTTTAGTTTCACAGCACCAAGCAGCTTTAGTACAGAACAGTTGAGCTAAGCCACGCCCAGGCTCCTTGCTGTCTCCTTGCTCACACAACAAATACTCTTTCAGTTTCCAAACAGCCTTCAACTCTCTCACACACTGACAGGACGCTAGCCAGATGAATACCGATGGATGCTGGGAGGCAGAGGCAGAATTCCCCCCCCCTTATTTCCTTCCCCCAAAACTTGCCTGATCACATAGTTTTGTAGCAAAGCATGGGTACCCTGCTAGTGTGTGTGTGCATGCAGATTGGTAGATGGATGAGAGGGTTTTTTTTTGACTTTCCAGTCTAGGGCCAAGAGTGGCTGACCCATATTCCCCAAGCCAGTTCCATGCCTGAGAGAGAAATAGCATCTCGGTCTCCCCACTGAGAGCCCAGCTCGTTCACCACCCCACCACACCAAACGGGCTTTGTGTCCCCGTTTGAAGTATATATGAATGGGTTCACTTATTTGCATCGTTTTCCCATCGTTGGTTGCGCTTCCTCTCGGTTTTCTCCGAGTCTGTTTTCAATTACTTTGGTCTGTAAACTGCGCAAAACTCAGTGCGTATGACCAAATGCCATAGACTAAAATAATATACGCACACAACATTTCCGGTTGCCAAAGGTTCGCCTTCAGCCATGGGAATTGATTCCAAGGGTCTTATTCATTAGCCTGCTTATAAGGAAGTTAACGTGCAGATTAGCCCGTTGAATTCGCAGATTGAAAAATGGAGATTCCTTTCCCCTTGCAGATATTATCCAGATACTTTATAAATAGCTGCTATACTGTACTAACAGTGAAATCCTTTCTGTCAACTGTGCTGCTTAGTCCTGTTTTTTATGATGGAACGAAGCCATGTGCTGGCATCACCTTCATGAAAACGCCGAATTTCTAGTTCTGGGCAGCTGGCACACCTGAGCA